CACACAGACACACACACACACACACACACACACACACACACACACACACACACACACACACACACGGGGTAATCCTGTCTCCCCACCAGACACCACCATTCTCCTCCTCGTCTCTCCAGCATGACCTGCTAGTCACAGCATGAATAGAACGTAGCATCCTAGCTAGAGACTCAAGTCACTCATTACAGTATGCATAGACTTGCATCTTGCCCTAGTGCTCCGATCTGCTCTAATCTGAACAAAAGGCTGAACGTATCCAGTGACTTTTGCGTGAAATGTGTCTGATGTAGAAAGTAGTTTATAATATAATGCCAGTTTCATCGCTGTTCATTTTGGGTTTGTCTTTTTTTTTCTTTTGTAATTCCCTTTTTTTTTGGGGGGGGGGGCTGTTAGGAAAATTATGTTCTTGCATTATTTCTGTCTACATAATGTTCTTAACGCCCTCCCCCCCCTCCCCCCTCCAAGAAAAATAAAAGCATAAATGACTAAATAAATAAATATATAAATAAATAGAAACCACCTTCAGTGGGAAAAAAGAAGAAAAAAGCGAAAATGACTGTCTAGAATGTGGATATCCCTGTAGGTACAGAGAGAAAGATAGAAAGATCATTACAACCTCCTCATTTCCTTCCAGCTTAGCTAGGAATAACACCGCCTCACACACTAACCTGGATAACAGAAATCAGAACACCAATTAGAAAAAGAAAAAACAAACAAACAGACAGACAAAAACAACAACCAAGATATGTACTGAAAAGAAATATAAAAGTAACAAGACAAACATATATTATAGACTGATTAAATAAAAAAAATAATCAACAGTCGTCTTTCACAACTCGGAAAGCAAGAGAGAACAAATACTTTTCTTTTGAAAATAAAACACAAACAGACAAACAAAACAAAACACAAAAAATCGCCGTTAATATAGCTTCAACAATACCACACGATTTAAATGCTGCTTTATTGAGGTCAAAAAGATCACGTGACATCACAGCCATTTCCATTTCATCGCCTTGTCCCGTGAAGAAAATTCAGGACAGCGTGATGGTTCATCCATGTTTGCAAAGTGCCAATTATTTATAGGGTAAGAGGGTGGTTTGGGTTTGTTTTTGTTTTTTTATTTGTGGG